GACCTACCCCGAAAGCCTAATCCAACCGGCATCAAAATATACGTGTTAGCAGGTGCTTCTGGCCAGGTATTAGATTTAAAAGTTTTTCAAGGAGCGACAACTAGACTCCCAATGGAAGTAGAAGGAACCAGTAAGCTAGGCGATGGAGGTCGAGCAATTCTACGTTTGACGGAGACTTGCCCACCCGGCTCAAATCTATACTGTGATCGTTATTTCACAGGAACCGTCTTACTAGAAATATTGATGGGAAAAGGAATTTCTGCAACAGGAACTATTATGTCAAATCGGTTTCCAAAGATAGGCTTGAAAGATGATAAAACAATGAAAGCTACTGGTCGCGGTACTATTGACTATAAGGTTAGAGAGGACAAAAAGATCGTCATTATCAAATGGATGGATAATCGTTCTGTAATCTTGGCATCAACGAAACATGATCCGAAAATTACTGGAACAGTAAAACGGTATTCCAAATTCGACCGGGCCTACATAGATGTTCCCCTTCCTGAAATTAAAAGAGTATAATGCCAACGTAGGAGGAGTTGATTTACTTAATAGGCTTATTGCATATTATCGTTCTTATCATAGAACAAAAAAATGGACAGTTAGACTTTTTGAGCACTTCATAGACATGACAGTTGTAAATTGTTGGATTCTCTATAGAAAAAACCAATTATCAATGAATGTACGAAAAAATGAGATAATTGCGGAATGCCTAATGAAGGGATCTGTTAGTAACGCAGATGAAAGTAAAGAAATGGAGGATCAAGATAAATATCTGCCTCCGCCTTTAAAAAAAGCCAAGGAGAGGCTACCCAGAGTTCCAATACCCCCCAGGGAACACAGAAAGTTTAAGGCATTACATTTACCGGAAGCAGTGGAAGCCTCTTCTGCTCCACGATGAAGAAACCCGGGATGCAAGCATAGATCCCGTGTTGCGTGTATTTCATGTAAAGCTTTCCTTTGTCTATCAAAGGAAAGAAATTGTTTCAAGGAATTTCATTCTTAAAATTAATGATTTAAAAAACTTTTTTTATACCAATTAGGATTAAAAACACTGTTTTTTCTGTTTTCTTTTTTAATAAAATGTTACTTTGACAAAAATTAAAAATACCCCTTTTTCAGACGTTTTTTTAATAAAACCCTATTTTCTAAAACATGATAACGATATTACGCCTACAGTCCCAGTGAGCATATTTATGCACAAAATCTGCTAGCTACATCTAGTTGTGAAAAGTTAAACTATCGCTATAGAATGCTTCCACTATACAGAACTGTGCAAGAAATTCTTAAATTGGCAACATTTGTGACACTCGGGGTTGACGAGGATAATACACATACTTTAATTTTCTTTTACTATACGGAGAATGGTCGCACTGCCTTTGAAAAAGAGATAGAAAATTCCGCCATTTTGAACTCTTAGTACGTGTTGCCTACATATTGGCGCAATATTTTTAATAGGTGCGTTTTAATCATCCACTTCTGCTTCGGAATTGTCGGTTTTCTTGTTTTAATCTGACAGGTTAGAACGACTAAACCGACAATTTTGGAAGCAGAAGCGGATGATTAAAACACACCTGATATTTTGCTTGCTGCTGTCAGTGTCAGTGAATATTATTTTTGGAGTCACAGTTTATTGCTAAAGAATCAGTTAGCTCACTCGGACCAGTTGATAGTTCCAAAATAACATCCACTCCAGGGATACAAATTCAGGATACGCTGAAGACTGCTGTTTTATTATAGGCGGTTGTCATATATTGTATTATTCGAGTTGCACAGTGTATAAACTGAAACATTGAGATCCAGAGTGCCGACGCAGAGTAAGCGATCTGATTCTGTAGCTGTAAACTGTGTCACAGGGTTCACAATGTCCGCGCGCTATGTTGGGCATGTCGGACCTCTCTGGGATAATATCTGTTATGTCCACATACTTTGATTTTCTTTTACTATACGGAGAATGGTCGCACTGCCTTTGAAAAAGAGATAGAAAACTCCGCCATTTTGATCCTTTATTAAGTGTTGCCTACATCTTAGCGCAATTTTTTAATAGGTGCATTTTAATCATCCGCTTCTGCTTCAGAATTGTCGGTTTTCTTGTTTTAATCTGACAGGTTAAAACGACTAAACCGACAATTCCGGAAGCAGAATCGGATGATTAAAACGCACCTGATATTTTACTTGCTGCTGTCAGTGTCAGTGAATATTATTTTTGGAGTCACAGTTTATTGCTAAAGAATCAGCTCACTCGGACCAGTTGAAAGTTCCAAAATAACATCCACTCCAGGGATACAAATTCAGGATACGCAGAAGACTGCTGTTTTATTATAGGCGGTTGTCATATATTGTATTATCCGAGTTGCGCAATGTATAAACTGGAACATTGAGATCAAAAGTGCCGACGCAGAGTGAGCGATCTGACTCTTTAGCTATAAACTGTGGCATAGGAATTAAAATGGCCGCGCCCTATGTTGGGCGTGTCGGACCTCTCTCTTGCACCGTATAGTAATCAAAGTATGTGGTTATGTCTGATATATACTCATGTTTTTAAATGTGGCATTATGTTCTAATTTTTGTATTTTTGTTTATTTCTTGAAATACTTTGTTGAAGTTATTTCTGAAAGGTATGTTATCATTTTGTCGTAATTTAGTTTAAAATTGCTTATTTGGTTCTTTATAAATATTGTGTTTTGATTATAAACAATAATGCCTATTTTTTTAGTAATATTATGTAGATTAAACAACTCGTACTTCACAGATCTGGGTGGATTTGCTTTGATTTAATTTTTCTTCTACTATTTATTTTTAACCTCGGTACAAATAATTTTTTTGCACAAATTTGCAACCAATTAATATATTAATATTTTTTATTTACTATCCTTAAGAAGGAGAGAACTTTTTGAAACCCGGCGTCAAGAATGTAATGAAAAAATGAAATCGCTGCAGTTTTAGATTATGTTATGAAGAAATTTCTAATGAGTTAACATGAGAAAAGCAATGGTTGCCACATTGTGAACATTTTTTATAGTAAATTTGCTGACAAAAGGAAAAATTGCAGTCCATCAATACAAAAGTTTGTCGTGCAACATGATAAATACCTAATTCCTTTTAAGGAATCTATACCTCCCAAAATCCCTCAAAAAAAAGATCGACCATCTAAATCTGAGTTGCTCAGTGAAGTTGGAGACAAAATTTTGTTATTAATGGAAAGCTATTTTATAGATGAATCAACTTTTGCTGTGTCTACTTAAGTCGGCACCATATGGGAAACTTATTTGTTTTATGAAATAAAGTTTTTCCTCACAAAAAGTTCGGCATGGACTAAAACTAAAAATACAGGTACCAGATATCAAATTTTTAAGCCATGTACAAGGTTTGTCAAAAATTAGTTATTTTATTTATAAACAAAACTGAAAATTGTTAATTAGAATTGAAAACTACTGTTAGATAATTAAGTTTTTCCCATGTACCATGAAAAACCTGTTTTATGATTTGCAAAATAAATTGTATAATTTGTATTTATGCAAAAAATCAATAAAGATCGTATTTTCGTAGATGAATAAATTTTCATATATTATAAGAGCTTTAAATTCTGATCAACTTTTTTTATAATAATTTTCGATATTGTTAAAAATAAACGTAATTTACTCGTGAATAACATATATATTTTTTGACAAACCTCGTACAGGGCTAAAAAACAGGTAGCCGATGCTTAGGTTTTAGACCATGTAAAACTTTTTATGAAGAATAACTTTTTTGCATAAAACAAATAATAAAAAGTTCCCATATGGTGTCGACTTAAGTACACACATTGTATATTTATTAAATAAAAATTTTTATAATACAGTATACTTTTTTGTGTTTTTATATATAAGTGTTCTATGTTATTTATCATAAAAATATTATATCAACGTTTTTTAATGTTTTTCGATTTTTTATTATCTAGAACTAGATTATACGAAAGTCACACTGTGCGTTGTAACCATTGGTAATTTTGCTATTTAGTCGCGTCAAATTAGCATTTTACCTGCAACTTTTTGCGGAGAGATTCGATTGAGATGTGATTTTTTGCAACATGTTCAGGAAACCGTCTATAACAAAAGATATATCTAACCTCTGTACGATCGCAAATTCTTAATTGTTTATTTAACAAATGGGGCATTTTTGTTAGAGTGTTGATGAATATGTGGAATGTTCTCACGAGGGGTTTCGAGGTCCCTCTTTATTACTTTGGTGTCAGATTTATTATATATCGCTAAATTGTTATAACTTGGCTAATTAACAAATGAAAAACTCAACCCCCGAAATCACTAGAGAACCGGAATTTTTTTCCAGCATTTCTGGCTTATTAAGGCGAACCATCGGCACAAGATTTTTGCAAACATAATTGTTTATTGTTCGATTGTTGCCACCTCGCTAATTAACAAATCAATAACTCGACTCCCGGAATCGTTAGAAAATCAGATTTTTTTTGCAATAACTCTGGGATCACGGGGGATCATGGGGAGATGCATCGGCACAAGGTTGTGCCACGTAAATATTTATGTTTTAATTGTTGCAATCTATGCTATTAACAAATTAATATCTCAACTCCCGAAATCACTAGAGAACCAGAATTTTTTTCTGCATTTCGGGCTTGTTAAGGCAAAACATCAGCACAAAATTTTTGCAAACATAATTGTTTATCATTCAATTGTTGCGACTTCGCTAAATAACAAATTAATAACTCAAGTCCCGAAATCGGTAGAGAACCGGAATTTTTTACGATATCTCTGGTTTCTTGAGGCGAACCATTGACACAAGATTTTTGCAAATATAATTGTTTATTTTTCAGTTGTTGCAACCGGGCTAATTAACAAATGAATAATTCTACCCCCGAAATTATTGGAGAATCAGAAATTTTTCCAATAATTCTGGGTTACTGAGGCTAACCATCGGCACAAGGTTATTTCTGGCAATTTCAAAGATTAAATCAAGATTCATTAAAATGTTAATCGAAGTTTTAGAAGAGAATAATTTTAAAGGCAAGCAATCCAATGACGATGCGGATACATTAATAGTATCTACAGCTATAGCAGAAGCAAACATTTCTGCAACCGATTCAAAAGTAGCTGTTGTTGCGGAGGACATAAATGTTTTAGTGATATTGGTGACATTAACACTTGATGACAAAGAGATATTTTACACCAAGTTACCAAAAGATAAAACACCCGGTGCAACTCATTTATCTAAAAGTTTAGATTTCTAACCTGTAGTTAAAGAAAATATTTTATTCTTACACGCTATATCAGGATGTGACACATCATCTGTGTTTTATGGAAAAGGAAAGACTAAACTAGCTGGAATATTAAAAAAATCTACAGAATTAGAAGGTGCTGAAAAATTGTTTAAAACCCCTGATGCTCATCTGCATGACCTTATGATAAATGAAATAAAACTTATTTTGGCTTTGTACGGTGCAAAAAATTATAACATAGGTTTAAATGACTTCATATTTAAGTATTTTTGCAAAAATGTAGCATCTAAGAAGACAAAAGTACTCTTGTGCTCTTTACTACCTACTGCAGATGCAGCTCTACAACAAATCAAGAAAGTTTATCTTCAAATTCAATGCTGGATGGGAAACATTTTTTACCCCAGTGACTGGGGCTGGGAATTTGATACTAGGAAGAATTTTTATAAACCGATTATGATGACTAATGAGGCGGCCCCATCTTCTCTACTTGAGGTCATATTTTGTTCATGCATAACCACAGGCTGTGCAAAAGTGTGTGGGTGCAGGAAAGCGGGATTGTATCGCACTGCAGTGTGTGTAAATTGTGCCGTGAATGATTGCACAAACTGCAAACCTGTGCTAATAGAAGATGCAGACGATGGTGATCCGGCTGCTACTGATTTTGTACCTCCACCGACTATTAACATTATCCCCCAACAATGTTTCTGTACTTGACTATTTCGAAACAGATCAAATTGACGAAAGTTTTTGTGAAGACGTGCACTAAGAATCTTTCCGGTTTTCTAGTGATTTCGGGGGTTGAGTTTTTCATTTGTTAATTAGCCAAGTTACAACAATTTAGCAATAAATAATAAATCTGTTACCAAAGTGATAACGAGGGACCTCGAAACCCCCCGAGAGAATATTTTCCAGATATTTTCGTTGAACCGTTTGTGACATTTGCCACATATTCATCAACACTCTAACAAAAATGCCTCATTTGTTAAAAAAACAAGAATTTGCGAGTATACAGAGGTTAGATATATCTTTTGTTATAGATGGTATCCTGAACATTTTGCAGAAAATCGCATCTTAATCGAACCTTTCCGCAAAAAGTTGTACATTTTCACTTTTTTCATGCTAATTTGACGCAACTAATTGAATGCGTGCGAGTGCTATTAATAAACAATTAGAACGAAGATATTGTTTGGCATTATATATTATACTCTTCACAGTTTGGCATCCCCCTTAACCCCTATTTTTAATCAGTTTTTTTTTCAGAAATAATAGGCCTCATCCACCTATAGAGCTTGATTTTTCCTGATAATTTCAATTGAATAACGTTTTTTGTTTCTGCCATCTTGTCTAAAATATATTTATTAATCTGTTTTTATGTTGCCTTGCTATTATGTAACTACCTTCATAATATTTGATAATATTTTTAGAAAGAAGTTATTTTTAAATATATTTTTTCCATCTTGTTGTAGGCAGTGACTCCTTTAATCGACTGGATATTTTTTATGATGTTCTGAAACTAATTTTGAAACATAGGGCCATCCATTTCTTTTTTTGTTTACCTTGACTTGAATTAATAAACCTTTCGACAAGAATCTATCTGTGTTTCCAATGTGGTTACTAAACGATTTCCTTTTCATGTTTGATTTTTAATCCACAAGAGAACCTTTTCACAAACGCTTGTTATTTTATTTTGATAGAGGTATCTTGCCAAATTTTTGTTACTGTTTGTTCGGTATCAACCCATTTTTATTTATTAATTTATTACTTTAAAGAGCTAGATTTCATGTTGATATCGCTTTTGGTTTCTGATTTCTATTTTTCTATTTTTATTTAAACCCTCCTTAACGCCCATTTTTATTCCGATTTTTTTTAAATCAATAGACTTTGACCTCTTACTGAGAATTTTTTTCTAAAAATTTAAAGTTTATTTAATTTTTCGTCTTTGAGTTAGGATTTTCTTTTTTATTATTTTAACCCCCCTTAACCTTATCCCATTTTTTCACATTTTTTTTAAATCAATAGGCTTCGTCCCCATTTTGTTTTTTCTTGAAATTTTCAAGTTGATATCATTTTTCGTTTTTGCGAACATAATACGTGACATACGCACAGACAAAGTAAACCTATACTCTTTGCTACTGTTAAAAAAAATAAATATGTTGTTCATACATATTCCAACTCTAGTGTATTTAAGCGTATAAGAATGAAAGTTAAGGTTAAATAAACATTTCTGATAAAACTTTCAGTAATTATACCCAGCATATTAATATTAATTTCGTAACACTTTGATAAATTATTGTATAAAATGTATACAAGGTGATTATTATTGATATTCACTTTTGTTTAGTTCCTTAAAATTATTAAAATTCGAATTATCTAAAATAAATCATGTGAGGGGAAGTTAAAATCCTAATGAAGACTAAGACACATTTTAGATGAAATAAAAAAATCTGATGTGTCCAACACATGACTTTCCTATCTAGTTATATAAATGTTTAGAGGATAAACTAAATATATACATTGTCCACATACATCTACCTCGAAACATTTTTCTATAGATATTCATGGAAAACGAAAATACTGAAAAATTTTAATTTCCTACAATTTTTTCATTACGGTCCATTTTAGAAAAATCATGTATAAACAAAAATTATAGAGATCGATATCGCAAACAACTTTTATTTCAAAAACTTTCATAATAAAAATCAGAATTTTGCACATTTTGTCAAATTTCTCGAATACGGACCATTTCAGGAAATTTTTACATAAAACAAAAATTACAGATAATAATATTAGAAGTAACTTTTATTTGAACAATTTTCCTCTCCAAACATAAATAACAGATATATTCCATAAAATATAAAAACGGCCTCCCATAAAGTACCCCCCCAGATGTTCCGACTTTGTCCAAAATCTAATCATTTCACGTCAGGCCGAAATAAACCTTAAGTTTAAAATTTAATGTTTTTTTCTTTATCCGTTTTTGAGTTTTCTTCAAAATTCGAAATTTACACATTTTCTCAAATATCTCGAATACGGTCCATTTTAGAGAAATTATGTAGAGAATAAAAATTATAGAGAATTATATTACAAACAACTTTTATTTGAACAATTTTTATAAAAAAATATTTTTTTTACATTTTGTCAAATTTCTCGAATACGGACTATTTTAGGAAAATTTTGTATGGAACAAAAATTATAGATAATAATATTAGAAGTAACTTTTATTTAAAGAATTTTCTTCTCCAAACGTAAATAACAGATATATTCCATAAAATATAAAAATGACCACCTATAAAGTACCCCCCCAAATGTTCCGACTCTGCCTAAAATCTAATCAGCTCATTAGACGCTGAAACAAAGCTTAAGTTTAAAATTTGGTGTTTTTCTGTGTATCGGTTCATGAGTTATGCGTTATACAGACACACACACACACACACACACACACACACACACACACAGACACACACACACAGACACACACACACACAGACACACACACACACACACAGACATCATCGCGAAAATAGTCAAAACGGATTCAGGGGACCTCAAAACGTAAAAATCCGTCGAAAACTCGAGGTCGAAAAAAATCATGATTCCTATACTTTCCTTATATCTGTATACAGATAGGAAAGTAAAAATCTGAAGTGTCCAACACATGACTTTCCTATCTAGGTATTACAGGCTTTTTCCGGTTATTTTGTACAATCTATTGCAGCATCTCTATAAATGTTTAGAGGATAAACTAAATATATACATTGTCCACATACATCTACCGCGAAACATTTTTCTATAGATATTCATTGAAAATGAAAATACTGAAAAATTTAAATTTAGCACTTTTCCTACAATTTTTCCATTACGGTCCATTTTAAAAAAATCATGTATAAACAAATATTATAGAGATCGATATCGCAAACAACTTTTATTTCAACAATTTTCATAAAAATCAGAATTTTGCACATTTTGTCAAATTTTTCGAATACGGACCATTTCAGGAAATTTTTACATAAAGCAAAAATTATAGATAATAATATTAGAAGTAACTTTTATTTGAACAATTTTTTTCTTCAAACATAAATAACAGATATATTCCATAAAATATAAAAACGGCCTCCCATAAAGTACCCCCCCAGATGTTCCGACTTTGTCCAAAATCTAATCATTTCACGTCAGGCCGAAATAAAACTTAAGTTTAAAATTTAATGTTTTTTTCTTTATCCATTTTTGAGTTTTCTTCAAATTTCGAAATTTACAAATTTTCTCAAATATCTCGAATACGGTCCATTTTAGAGAAATTATCTATAAGATAAGAATTATAGAGAATTATATTACAAACAACTTTTGTTTGAACAATTTTTATAGAAAAAAATATTTTTTTACATTTTGTCAAATTTCGCGAATACGGACCATTTTAGGAAAATTTTGTATATAACAAAAATTATAGATAATAAAATAAGAAGTAACTTTCATTTGAAAAATTTTCTTCCCCAAACGTAAATAACAGATATATTCCATAAAATATAAAAATGACCACCCATAAAGTACCCCCCCAGATGTTCCGACTCTGCCCAAAATCTAATCAGCTCATTAGACGTTGGAACAAAGCTTAAGTTTGAAATTTGGTGTTTTTCCGTGTATCGGTTCATGAGTTATGCGTTATACAGACACACACACACACACACAGACACACACACACACACACACACACACACACACACACACACACACACACACACACACACACACACACACACACACACACACACACAGACAGACATCATCGCGAAAATAGTCAAAACGGATTCAGGGGACCTCAAAACGTAAAAATCCGTCGAAAACTCGAGGTCGAAAAAAATCATGATTCCTATACTTTCCTTATATCTGTATACAGATAGGAAAGTAAAAATGGAAAAAAAAATTAAATATCCCATTAAATTAATTTAAAATGACTTCCTAAAATAGTTAGACCTTAGAACTGCCTTATGATTAAACAGTCCGAATATCATTTATTTAGTGACCTTCATAGTATAATAACAAAACTAATTTAATTTACTTTAAGATAAAACGGTTTAAGATAAAATAAAATGGTTTATTAACTAAATTTAAAATAATTGTAAAACAAAGTTATAAGAACGAATAATTATAATTTTTATAAAAAAGCTCTAGCTATTTATTTTTATTGTTCCATAAAATTTTAACAGAACATAAATAAAACTTACATAATATGTTAAAAAAGTTTACTCTTACAACATTCCTAAAATTAATATTAAATTATAAAGATTTATACATTTGTTCGTAAATAATGTTAAAAATCATTTTAATTATTAACAAAGTAACATAGACGTTAGGTTAGAATAATTGACTTTATAATGTTAACTCAGTAGAAGAGTGGAGCATCGTTAGGTTTATATCCAGGAGCCCGTGTCCTATGAATAACTTTTTGGCAAACCTAATGCGTTTTCAAGACTACACACTAACATATTAATATTTTGATTATAACTTTTTTATACAATGCTGGACAGGATCAAATCTTCGATCCTTTGTTGGTTGTACAGAAGTAAACGGCCCTTAGATGTCCAAGAGAGGGAAAATGATATGGTATCGACGTTGACAGTTATAGGTTGATAATGCGTTACTGACTCGTGACTCAAGATGTGACTGGCAACATTGAATCTATTTCTTTCTGTATATACGAGCGCCATTTTCTATTTATT